TTAAACACAGAAATGATTCAGAAAACAAAATGTAGTTCAAAACAGATGATAGAGCCCAGGTGTTTTTTATCCATTTCTTGTTTATTTGTTAAGAAATCCAAAGATCTGCAAATTCTGCACATTTTCAGAGTCCTGGACACTTTTAGTAAAAAAAAGAATGCTATTGTGTTTATCCTTCAGCAGATCTGAATAAATCTGCGTCTAAACACGACAGGTGGAGGAAAATGACTGCAAATCATTTTCTACATTAGTTTGTTGTCCTTTCCACAAAGAATAAATGATTAAATATACATCTGAATCAACAGATTACAACCAAAGTAGAAGCAAAGTATGAATTGGGTTTACAGTATTTACAGTTTTACCTTCATAAAAAAGAAAATTACTGATAAGTGCCTAATTTGTGGTTTTCAGAGAACTGGGAAATATTTTACAGATAGTGATCAGGTATTTCAGTTAACACTGAAATAAATTCAAAATGTACACAATCAGGTTTGTATTCCTGTGGAGCAGAACTAAGTATCCATTGGTGAGACGCTGACAGGGAAAAGCAAACATGTCTGAGTGCGTTTATAATCAAGCAGCTCGTCCGGATGGCCTTCAGTATTTATTTATCGCCTGCTGTCAACGGTAAAAAGATAAAGATTTATTGTGTTAACAAAATATTTCATGGACTAGTGGACACATTTCAAGAGAACTCTCAGAAAGTGATCACTGGACTTACATCTACAACTGTCATTTTAAAGTCAACCCAGTTTAAGATGGCCGCCACAGCTAAGCATTAGCAAACTCAACATGTCTGAAACAGTCCGTTTTACAGATACTGACCTAAATTTTTCTGTCAGTAGCTGAGAGTCATCCCCAACACATATTCTGAGCTCTAACTTGGAAACACAAACGTGACTTTAACTACCGGTAATCAAATTTGACAAATATTGAGTCAAGTTTTGGTCTAGTAGTAGTTTAGCTTCATTTCCAACATTCTTTGTGTAACACATTGATATTAACTGTTGGTGTCAACCCTGTTTCTGTTATGAAAATATCCTGTGAACTACTGGACACATTTTATTGAAACTTAATGGTAATCATTGGATGTGCATCTACAAGTGATTAGCTTTTGGAAACAATATGGCTGCCACAACTTATAGACATTAGCTAACTTAACTCAAAAACGTCTAAAATTCTGTTAATGTTACAGATACTGAGCTAAAATTTGGTGTGGTAGTTACTGAGAGTCATTCACAACATATTTTCTGAGTGCTGTTACATCTCACAAGATCTCGCATAATCTCATATCACACCACACAGCCCTTACAAGGTTTGACCACAACTAGAACTCGTAGTTTAAAAATTAGCCATAAAAAGTGGCGGGCAAAGCGTGCCGGGACTTTAACTTCCATTTTGCAAGTGATGGTTCAGATGTTTTTGAAGACGGTTTTGTGGACTTGTTATGAAGACGTGTATTCCCCGTTGCAGATAGCTCTTTGAAGTATGGCAAATAGAAAAACATAATCCCATGATGACTACAGGTTAATAAAGGATACTTTTTGAACATACCAAACTCACAAGCGATGAAAAAAGTGACAGACCTAATGCCTATAGTGTGTGTGTCCTGTGCCCCCCCCCCCTCCTCCCCCACCCCCAACATGACTTATGCATTCTGGTATATACTCCAAGAAGAAAATTAGGGGAAAAGACTACATGCTTCAGGTAAAGCAGACATTTACTAACTTATCCTATTTTGATTAGGACATAGGCTACATAGGAAAGATGGCATCAACCAACAAATAAAAAAAATTAACAAGCAACAGAAGCAAGCCAACCAGAGAAACCAAATATAACAGAGCATTTTGCTAATAGCAACTCATTCCTTAAATACATAGGGCTAAGCTAGCAACGCGCAATACAGGCGCACTAGCCAAGATACTATAGACGTAGCGCTCTGCTCCTCTAACGCATCCTAGCCCCCTCACCCGGTCGACCACTGCCGACCGGGGGAGGGGGTTGCTAGCGCACTTACTTAGCGCTAAATAAGTGCACTAGCTTAGTGCTTACAAGCTAGCGTGAATGTTGTTGCAAGATAGCTAGCGTGACTTGTGTAGCATTAGCTTAGCGCTATGTAAGCCCAGTCAATGGGAAATTACCACACCACTGACCCCGCCCCACAACCACCAAAAAAAAAAAACCCTTTGTTTCATGCTGATTCACATAAATGACATATTTTTGATTGATATTGCCAATTTTTTGCCAAAAAACAACAAATTTGCAGGTATGTTTGTATTTCCTGAATTTCATCAGGACACTTCCTCACTTTTCAACAATCCCAGATGTTATAATAGTTTGGACATGGAGTTAAACAAATGAGTTGTTATTCAAACCAAATATTGTAAAGTGATTAAGTCTTTCAAATTCTCTCTTTTCCTTTTGCCTCATTTCTCTAGCCACATTGACTCTGCCGGTCACATGACATAGAGCTAGCGCGATATGTAGCTAAACATGAAGGTACGCTATAGGCTACTCGCAATGTCCAAGCTGAAGAGGCAGTTTTAACACGGAAAACGACGACAGAAGCGTGGAAAACTCTGTGGCAATTGCAATAATGTGCCTTATTTTTGCAAAAGATAAAAAAGAGCATTTTCCTGAGTGAAACATTTTTGACAAAGGTGCTAGCAGTGTTAGTGTCGCAAGCTAGCAGCACAGCGAGGTATTGTAATTTTAAAGCAGCACCGTGAGAAACTAAGAACATTTACCTGCTTTAGCGGGCTGAGTGTCCAAAATATACAGTATTTATTTAATTTACTATAGTTTACATTCTATTTTTTATGCAGTAATTTATGTTGTATGTATTTAATGAAACTCTCAGAAACTAATCTCTGGATGGATTTTTTTATAAATGTTTAAGTTTTGGAGTCACCACAGTTCAAGATGGCAGCCACAGCTATTCAACATCAGTTCAAACAAAACTGAGTTTTACATATTTTGAGCTACAGCTGTGGGGTTGTAGCTGAAAGTCATCCTCATCATTAACTGAGCACTAACACAGTTCATGGGAGCTCACAATATTACATGTGATTCTATAAAAAAATCACTCAATCATATTTTATAAACCTTAAAATAGTAGGGCACTGAGCTATTATTTACATAAACATCTATAGCTATTTGGAAATAGTGGCAGCAGCACCAAGCAGTAGCACTTCCTGTGCTACCTGGGGAACTTACTATAAAATATAATCAAATTTTTGCTTGAGATATTGTAAAATAATGTTAACATTATGAAATGTTATGGATTGAAGTTGTTTGAAAATGATACTGATCAACTTAGGTCTTTGCCCTGACTAGCCATTGGCTCATCAGTCCAGTCATTATTAACATCCTTTCCCCAAACTGAGGTCGTTCAAAGAGTTATCTACAACAGGTAAGATATTAATTGTTCATAATCTTTCCACAGAACTTCCAAAAGAACAAATTGTTATACATTTTGTTTCCCATTTCCAACTTGCAACAATCTTAAATAAAGACAAATCTAAAGCGTTGAGCTTTGGGTTGTGACCGAAAGAACAAGATCTTGGATACAAGCGGCCAAAATGAGTTTTCTCCGCAGGGTGTCTGGGCTCTCCCTTAGAGATAGGGTGAGAAGCTCGATCATCCGGGAGGGACTCAGAGTAGAGCCGCTGCTTCTCCACATCAAGAGGAGCCAGTTGAGGTGGCTCGGGCATCTGGTTAGGATGCCTCCTGGACACCTCCCTGGTGAGGTGTTCCGGTCACGTCCCACTGGGAGGAGACCCAGAGGAAGACCCAGGACACGCTGGAGGGACTATTTTCTCGGCTGGCCTGGGAACGCCTCGGAATTCCCCCGGAGGAGCTGGCCCAGGTGGCTGGGGAGAGGGAAGTCTGGGCCTCCCTACTTAGGCTGCTACCCCCGCGACCCGACCCCGGATAAGCGGAAGAAAATGGATGGATGGATGGATGGATGGAAGGACGGATGGATAGATGGATGGATGGATGGATGGATGGATGGATGGATGGATGGATGGAT